GCTTGGAAAAGATGCGGGCACCAGGGCAGCTCAATGGGCTGCACTTGGCAGAGCTGTAGGAGCAAGGTTGCCCAATGCTTTAGGGGTTCAGGTTCCCAAGTGTGCTTAAGGTTTGCCCTGTTTGGGTTTTGGATTTGTTTGGGCCTGTTTTTCCTTTCTATTCTTCCCTTTTGGAATGGGAATGTGTACCCAATGTCTGTCCCACTGTATCTTGGAAGTAGATAAACTTGTTTTTGACTCTTTACAGGTTCATGGCTGAAAGGAGTTTTGCCTTTAGTCTCAGATGAGACTTTGGAGTTTTGCCTTTAGTCTCCAATGAGACTTTGGACTTTTGAGTTCGTGCTGAAATAAGCTAAAGACTTTTGGGACTGGGATGGAATGTGTAATTTGTAAACGTAAGAGTCATTTATCCTTGCTAAGGGAACATCACGGAAGATTCTGAACACGTAGATTGTATGGCGAGGGACACTGAAGGGGTGGATTGTTGGGAAAATAGAATAGTTTAATCAGGGCCCCTCGCCTTGGGTATGGTTAGGGGTGGTGTGGTGCATTCTTTGTAAATAAGTTGTGTGTGGGTGGAGTTAGTGTGCCTGCATGATGTGGTGACTTGGCTGGTGTCTAGTGCCTTGGGCGTCTGCCCATGCGGCCATGCTCTCGGACCTATGGCTCCAAGCACCATTTGGCCAGTTACCTAGCTCATAGACCTGTGTATCAGTGGTCTGGTGACCCAGCCTAGCATAAAGGGTTTGTGACCCAGTCTGGATCAGGCTTCTGGGGTCTGTGAGCTCCAGACCCAGCCCTAGCTCAACAATTGGCCCAGTTGGTGCAGGATTACTGGTAGGTAAAAGAGCCCTACAATTGGTGATGTCGGTAGGATTCTGACATTAGCCTAACGTGACAGGAGGCATTGATGTAGCTTGGAGCTTTGGAGAAAGGCAAGGTGACTGGTTTGGATGGAGCACTCCTGCTTTACGTTCAATTTAAATTGAAATATGGCATTTCCACAGCCGGATTAAATCATAATAAGTGAGATTTGACTGCATATATTACCCCCAAAGCCTAAGACTTTCTAAAATTTGATGATGCTGCTGCCTGATGAGTTTAGTCATTTCTAAACCATTTCTAAATTGGAGGAAAAACAAACAAACAAAAAAACCTGAAAAGTAATAGAGTGGCTGGTGGAGCAGAAAATAAGATTCACGAAGAAACATACACAACTGTAACTATTTTAATACAAAAAAAATGACCAATGGATTAGAAGATAAAAGGCAGATCTATAAATTGAAAGTGACAGAGGGCCCTTAAGTCAAAGGGAAAGGTTAAAAAAAGAAAAGACAAAAAGGAAGGAAAAGCCCTGGAGAGCCCAATAAAACTGAATCAAAGCAGCTATTAGATAAATTTTAATCACCATGAATATTGTCTTATATCTAATAGGTTGTCAGCATTCTAAAGCTTTGATTCACCATCAACTGTGCATAAATGTT